TAGATTCTGCTCGAGAGCGGAACGGCAGCAGAGTCGTTCGGCCGGTGGTCACAACTCGCCTCGCTGTGGCGAGGGACATGTCGTTGTGCTGGGCGACGAGCTTCCAGTTGTCGCCGCGGAGGAAGGCGTCGAGAACACGCTTCTCTCCTCCGCGGTGGGGCCTTTGTGTGTTTTCATGCGAAGACAAGTCGGGTGATTGGAAAATGATCATTGTGCATTGACAGTTTACATGTTGGGCACGAAAATAGCGCGCTTCTGTGGTTCACTTTGATTGGAACAAAATTCATGTTGATCCGAAATTTTGTACTCCACATCTCTCGTGAAAATTTATATTTTATATCCGATTCAACTTGATTGGAAAAAGTGCGCAACTTGATTGGGAAAAGGTGTAGTCCGCTACCTCTCACAATGCTTCTTTGACTTCTTTTCCTAACCATTTCACCGACAACTTCAAACCAGTCATTGATCAATCTATTGATCCAATGTGATGCGTCTTGTCATGCTAAGCACGGGTGGATGCAGCTCGTGACTGGATGCACCGGCAAGTTGGATGCCAAGTTCGAGGCAGAGAGCTTGATCGTACGGTTGGACGAAATCTGGGGAACGACACGCCTTCCACGACGTTGCACGTGACTATGCTGCCTGTGTTGGACTGTACCCGCTTTCGCCCCGCCTCGTGCCCGTAATGTGCGCCCTGCAGAACACGCATGTCGCATGGGTTCAAACCAGGGGGTTGTATCGGATCGTCGAGCTCAACGAGGCATCTAGGTGCTCGGGGGCCGCCACGACGACATCGTCGGCGACGTGGGGGCTCTAGCGGCAGTATCGAGCGATGATGCGACAGTATTCTTCAACTCGGCTCGTTGAGGAGCGCAAACGAGTTTATCCAACTGAACAACTCGATGCTCAGGAATAGACGTCCGGTAAGTGGTCAATGGCGAACCAGGGAAAATGTAGATGATATCTTTAAAACAAAGAATAGCTGCAAAATATAGTATACTACAGCTTCCCTAGTAATCTAGTTGCCAACGGGTGTCTCTATCATGAATTGCAAGCTAGAGTAATGTTGCCGAAGCTCAACCCATCCAGAGGACAATGCTGTGGAGCGCTAGGTCACCTGAAGTAGGTAGTGGAGTGAAGTGGACTCGATGTCCACAGACACGGTTTATGGACGTCGAATGTCGATTCCAGGTCGAGACAACGGTGTTGACGCGAAGGTTATCGTAGGGGCGTTGGCGAAGGAGATGCAGTCCAGCACGCATGTCGCCTCCGTGCGAGTCGTTGTCGCCCAGTTGACGTAAACGGCGACGCGTTGTTGACATCCACATGAGAAAGGACAATTCCAGGAGGACGTGAGGCGGCGGAAATTAGCGATGTTGGTGCAGCACAAGGTTGTGATGTGTCCATACCAGGTGGAGCAAAAACCCCGTAAGCATGATCCAGAGGTCAAACAGTACAGCAGTAAGGGGGAGCGAGCCATTGTGGACATGGAAGTCGTCCAGATTTGTTATAGAGTGCCAGGTAAATGTTGGACCGAGCTGGTGCCACGCTGCCGAAAGCAGATTCCACAGAGGGACAACGGTTTGACACTCCCTCAGTGCGTGTTGTTCGGTCTCAACTAAACCACAGCCGTGCGCGCACATGATGGAGCTGGAGTCGGATTGCGCACGAAAATGGAAACGGGCATTGACTGGTAGCATGCGGAGAATAACTCGCAGCCAAACGCCAGAATGTACGGGGTTGAGAAGTGTCATCGAATGACGAACGTGCCGCATGTATATGCGTGCTAATGGGTGGTCGGGGCGAGATTCAGACACCGTTGGGTGCGGGACGGTGAGGTCGGGCCCATGGAACGCCGTTGAACGGAAGACGCGACGCGGCCACAGCTCGTATGGCACGCACATGTCTTTGATGACCATTGAAGAGCCGTGGGACGAAGTGGGGGCACCCTCGTCTGGTGCGTCGGGGCGGTTTAGTAGCTGGTCACGAATGGCGTCGTAGACGTTGGAGGGGTGGTCATAGACGCGCCTCGTACGGTCGACCATATCGAATCGAAACCTGCCTCTGTGCAGTGACATGGTCACGTTGCGGTTGCCTGCGGGCATAAAGCACCGAAAGCGGTCGAAAGTTGGCCAAACTCCACCAGGACCAATGCGAATGATATCGACTATGGAGGCCATTGCTGGCTCCATCGAGGCACCACTGGCGACAAGTAATTGTAGTCGATGCAAGTTGGGCGGCGCATTGACGCTGGTCCGTCAGGAAGGGTGGGTATGTTGTGGACCAGATGTGCATGCTGAGCGTGGTGGTCAAGTCGGGCGGCACTTGCTGTCTCGTCGGCAGTGGCACGCTTGACCAGGATACCCAAACATCGCGCCACAGAGGTTGAACCTCATCAAGGTCATGCCACGAAGTTGTTGTGACGGGACGACGCCACAGAAACGGGTGAGATTGTCTATGTATCTCGGGGAAACAACGGGCGAATTGCTCCAACACTAGAGCTGTCCACGGTGATCGGGCTTCGTCAGGGTACGCTGCATGAGTTTCTGTAGCAGAAGCAGACGTTGTGTGCGAATGCATGACGCGATGTGGGTTACACCAAGGCCCAAAGCTGTATCGTGATGCCAGATGCGAGCGGTCAGAGGACGGTACTTGGGGTCATCTGAGGTTTTACTGTCGAGAACGTAGTTTGATAGAACTCGTTGCCAAGTTGAGACGATGGTGGCAACCGTCACACCTGTGATGTGTCAGATCAGTGAGAGAATCACGGCTGATGCGAGGGCTTTGCGTCCCTGGAGGGTTCTTGCTCGATATGACCATTTTGCGAACGCCTGCAAGTACTTGTCGTTGATGAGCTGCACTTGGTACGCAAAGTCGAGGTTGTGACCCACATATATACCAAGGTAACGAATGGGGAAACCAGTGTCCGCGAGAGTGATTGACGGTGCGCTGGCTCAACCGACCGGGGGTTCATTCGAATTGAGAACCAGAATTGTGCACTTACTGAGGTTGTCTGCCGTTTCGAGGGAGTTGGACAGGAGGGTAGCGTCGTCTGCGAAAAACACACTGGTCATGCTCGTGCCATCGGGCATGGGGATGCCCAGTTCGAGTGCAGCTCGAAGCATGTCACCGAGCTATGTAGAGGTTGAACAAGAATCAGGACAAGGGTCACCCTTGTTTGACACCACGGGTTGGGCGTATGGCTGGCCCGAGGGAGTCGTTCAGCAGCAGGCACACGACAGGTTTGGTGTAGAGCAGCTTGACCCACTCGAGAAAGTTGGACCCGATGTTCATTTAGCCATGACATCAAACAGAAAGGTTCGGTCGACACAGTCGCAAGTCTTGGCGAAATTGAGGAAGGACGCGTACCATTCCTCATTGTCTCGTGTCGCTTTGTGCTGTAGGGCGTTTAGCAGGTGGATGTGGTCCCGCATGCTGCGACCGCCGACAAACCCTGCCTGCGTTGGATGGATGATGGTGGGCGCGACGGTGGACAGGCGAAAAGCCAGTACGCGTGACAGGATCTTTACTTCAACGGGCATGAGTGCGATGGGGCGGTAATTGCCCGGATCGGTTCGCTGGCCCTTCTTATAGAGCAGAATCACCGCGCTCAGGCGCTGCTGGGGGAGAAGGCATCCGAATTTGGACCGCTGGTCATTGAAAACTCGGGTCAGGATGGCAG